TGTGTGTGTGTGTGTGTGTGTGTGTGTTCTATTGCTTCACTTCATTTGAATGAATGAATGAATAAACATAAAATTGAGCGATAATACATTTGACTTTAAATGTTTTAATCAATCATTCAAGTAAATGTTGCATTGTCAAAAAACGAAATTTATTTCAGTATTAAATTTCGAACATTAATAGATACCTTTTCTTTTCAAACACTTTAAGCCATCTAGAAGAATTAAATTGAATTTTGATTCGCAACTTAATTTTTCTTCTTTTTTTGCTCGAACTTTTTCTTTTTACATTGAAATGAAGAAAATCAAATTCTCTTTTTATCTCGCTTATATAAGCTTGAATTGTAATGCAAAAAAGGAAAAAAAAGAGCTAATCAAAAACTTTTCCAAAAACTTTTCAGTTTTTATTTTTTCGTTTTTTAATCGTCCTAGAGTGGAAACTGTAAGATGGAAGAGGCCGCTTGCAAATTGCATGCATTTTGCTAGCAAAAAAAAACGAAAAAGAGTTGAAAAAACTACAAGGGTAATTTTTGCTCAATTTTAAAGATATATTTTTGAAATATGAACCAAATTTGCATTTTTTTACCACAACATTTAAACAAGCAAAATGATGATTTAGAAGATGAATAGTTAACAGAAAAGGACAGCTAAGATGAATGTTTGCAAAAAATTTTCATAAAATTTTTTAAATTTCAAATCTGTAGAAAATATTGTAATTTTCGTGAAAAATGTTTTAAACATATTATAAATCTGTTAATGCTTCCATACTTAATGACGAATTGTTTTTCCTTTCATATGAAAGCGCCGAAAATTTTCAGCGGAATTAGCATATAAAAAGTACAAAGATCAAATTGAATTTAAACAATGCAGCAAACATTCCAGTCATGTCTCACTTTTATCATTTTGATAAAATACAAAATATGCTATATTTTTGAACGGTCGAACTTGTCGTTTTAAAAAACGAATTTATGAAGGAATCTGACATTTTGGCCGTAATATATTATTCAATTAAAATGTTTAAATTGGAAATGATAACTTTTTCTCAATTATATTTGAAATTTGATGGAATAAATCCTACCGTATTTAATCCATTTTGATTTATCATTTTTTACTGATAATTGATTTTTAATGATAAATTATATTCTTTGCAACATTTAACATTTTGCGATTTTATAAGAATCATGTAATATTTGAATTTTTTAAAAATATGATGAGAAAACATCTATGATATTCCTAGTGTGAATTCTTGGCCTATTTTCCATCAACAACATTTGATTCAATTTCAATCCGATCTAATTTAAGATCTGTCTGTATCCTCAAACAACTCACAGCTTCATTCTGGACTACTCCCGACTGCCTCCTCCATTCATGTTATCGATATTTTCATTATCGAGTTATTTTCAATTGTATTACAATTGCTTCGTTTTTCCATTATGCAATAGTTTTGCAGACGTAGTACAAATAAGAAGGCCAATAGCAAAAGAGCCTAATTTGGCCCATTTCTATCCATACATACAATTTTAGTCAATTGGAATTACAACCAAAAGGGTGTAAAAAATATTAAACTTGCTAAAATTTAGTACAATTATAACTAACTTTTTGAATTATATTTGCATAGAGAGATAAATTATTTTATGCTTTGAGATTTTGAAAAAAAAATTTTCTTTCATTTCTTTTCTCTTTCCTTTTTCTTCTTTCGTAATTTCTTCGTAAATAGTTGTGCACAATTAACAATTTTTGAATGAATGAATCATTTGAAATGATTTGTCAATGACAATTTTCGAACTTTCATTAACCTGTCAAGTCAGTGTTGAATAGCAGCACAAATGCCATTAGCTGATTTTAGTTTTTTTTTTCACAAAAATTTATCATAAAAATTGTTAAAGATTATTTATTTCATGGATAACATTATATATAAATTAAAAAATAAGTGAATTCAGAATTCAAATATTGTTCAGAATTTGTTGTGCAGAATTCAGAATTCAAATATTAACTTTAGTTTATTATTCTAAAATCTTCATCATTTTCATCTTCAAAAAACACTTTTATTGCTATTTCTCAGTGAATGTTTAAAGGGGATAAAATAATCTGTGAATTAACGTTTAATTAATTCCAGTTTCATTTCCCAATCCTTGTTGTTTTCCTTTCCCGATCACTGTTTTTTTCACTCATAATATCCTGTAGGTAAAAAATAAAGAAAAATGATTCCAAAGTGGTCGAGAAAAAAAAACGATTCCAGCAACTGTATCGAGAATTATTCCAATTTCTGATGAACAAAATTAAATCTGCTATCCCATTTATTTACTTCGTTTTGCTGCAAACGGCAGGATGGTCGTCGGATATTGCAATTATGTAGTTTGCGTTGAAATTTTTTCATTCATAAAATTTTGTTGTTTCTGTAAGATTTAAAAATTTTAACTTCAACATTTTCAGTTTCGATAGTCGCTTTGTGAGTTGGAAAAATTGTTCCGATTTATGTGTGATATTGAAAATGAATGATCGTCTTGGAGGTAAAAAAAAGTTACAAAACAAATTCAATCACTCTTCAAACAATTTTGAAAAATGAGCCAATCATTACGGATTTATAGAAATGTCTTAAGCATAAAGCAAATCAATAAGCTAATTAACTCATTAGTTCATGAAATTCGAGATTTTATGAATCAATAATTAAAGTTATAAAAACAGGGTTTTTATATTTTTTTCAATGATAAATTGAGTATAATATACATAAATGCATATATGTAAGTCCCATAGGATTAGCAAAGTGGAAGGCAATGTTAGAAAGATTTTCCGAATATTTTCCAATGAGGGAAGAAAAAATTGAAATGAGCAGTCAATCATAGTCAGTTGGTTGGTAAAATCGAAGCATTGAAATGCGGCCAAATTTTCATGATTTTTTAAAATGTAAAAAACGAAGAATATTATTTTGACAGAAAGAAAAAAAAGTCATCGAATAAATACTTCACAACAAATTGTTAATTAAATAGTTTTGAACTAAAAACCGCTAATTTATTTCACTGGATTTATATGATGGTTGGATGGTTTGAAAGTTTTAAATCAAATGGTACTTACCAGTCAGTATGCTATAATAATTTCTTAATTTTTTTTAAAATATTTATACTGTATCAGTGATAAATTTAGCAATAGATCTAAGAATAAGTTGCTTCTATCATGCTAGTCAATTTGAAATTATAGCAAAATACACAATATTTTTACTAAATTTATAAATCAATTTTTTAAAAAATGAACGATTTTATCAAGTTAAATAACATAAATATAAGTCAATAAATTTTATAACAAAGAAAATTTTAAATTAAAATTATAATGAAATGTATGAAATAAAAGTTAAACGATGATTTTTTTAATTCAACAATGAAATTCAATTTCAGGACGTCGACGTGAAGGTTATTTGCGCGGTTGTATGTCCGATATAATACATTATAATCAAACATTGAGCACACTTGGTGCCACGAATGCATGCGCTCTCGTTAGGTTACGTGATTTGTTCATATCCACTGAAAGGTTTCTTTTTTTTTAATGATTTATAATCTAATTTTAAAATATCTGTATAATTCATTTCCTCTTATGAATTTTGGATTTTGATGAAGAACACTGGCAGCTTAATTAATGAATAAATTCTTTCTCGAATATCATTTTTGCATTATAACAATCTCATTTGCAGGAACATTAATTATCTATTTTTTTCCGATAAATTAGTATTAATTAAAAGAGTTGTTTGTTTCGTCGATAATATTTTCATTACTTCAGGTATTTATTCGAGAATTCCGATCAGGTACAGTTATGTGCATGCTATAAGGATCTCTGCAACACAGCGCCTTCTAAAATTTCCATATATCTTCTTATATTTCTAATATATTTTTCACTGAAATTTTTATGATTTTTGCTCAAATTCGAATTTTTCCCTGTTTTAAAAAAAAGCAACGATCATAATTGAATTATGAAAAATTATTAAAGTAAAATTTTGAAGTTTTTGAAATTTCATGCTAGAAAAATTGTCATTAGGCTTGTTTTATGTTGGAATCGATTAGATTCTGCATGAATTTTATTCTTTTTTTATAACTTATGTTGATTTGCTGCATTATTTAATAAAGTTCCGATAATTGATTGATTGATAAATAATTTTTATAATATTTGTTGATGTTATGTCATATATTGAGTAAAGTTGTAAATATTTAATAAATTTAATAAGAAAAATCTACTCTCTCTAATAGAGTATTGATTATTGATTGGTCAATAATTACAACAAATTTTTATGGAGATTAAGTTTTGTTGAAACGACATTGAAATTAAATTTAATTTATCATGATTTATATTTGAATTTTTATATTATGAACTCGGGACAATTTTTTGACAACTTAAAAGTCAATTAATTGTCTTACTTGGTTTTCTGATTTTATGTATGAAATTTTTAAAATATTGTTCTAATGTTTTTTAAATTAATTAATGGATATCAGTTAAGTAAGCTAAGAGTTTTTATGCAGCGGTATTGCTCAATCTTTTTTTTTGTTCAAATTTTTAACAAAAATTTTCAAAACAATGAAAACACACTAAAAATGTGGGCTATTTGATTAATTAACCCTTAGAAATAGCGCATATTTTACATATGTAGCCAAATAGTTTGAACACATTTGCAAAAAATTCAAAAATTACGATCGATATCAGAAGATCTGTAGGTGAGGAGAAAATTCGATCTTGTGATCGTACAGTGTTATTTAACTTAGGTTAGACAAAACACCTAGATATTTAATAATTAGGAATGAAAGTTAAGTATAAACAAACTGTTATTCCTTAGAAAATTTCCAATCAAATATCGTTGACAATTTTCATATCAAAGCATTTTTCATAATTGAATTAAACAAATCGAAATGTCTACCATATTATTTGAGACTTCCAAGGATGTTTCAGAATGACGGATATCTCAATCTGTTGAAATTTTTAAGAGAGATGTGAATTTTCCGGCAATTTTCCATGAAAAAAGACCATCATAATGACTGATAACTCGTCATATAAAGCATATCAGCACTCGGGATATATTGCATAGATTGATTTGTATTGTAAGCAAAATTGAATCCTGGCGTAGCTGCTACTGCTAGCTGGTTACTGTAAGCTGTAGCGAGATTGTTCGTTTCCTGAACTGCTGATGACATCGACATCGACGGATTCAGAAGCATCTGTGAACATTGTTGACGTTGTCGTTGATGCTGATGTTGCTGTTGTTGATGTTTAACATCGCATAAGCCATCATCGCTGGATATATCTGAATTTTCCTTTCGTTCGCCAGACACACCGCTAGAATTTGATAATCATGAATTTTGCGAAGTGTTTTTCAAGTTTTAATCAAAATTGTGTATCAAAAAAGAAAGTTACATTGTTTTTGCATTGCTTATAAAAAGCGAAAAGTAAAATTTGTAATATTTTAAGCTTACTTATTGTTGTTTCTAGCTCTTTTAAATGTAAACTTAGTTTGCGGCATAATAAAATGATTATTAACAAGATTGGCTGATTGTATAAATATGTTTTTGAACAGTATTTTCAATTAAATTCAATTTCAATTCAGCAAAAATAAGTAAAAGTTGCAAAAAGAGAAATCAATGAACGAGAAATCAATCAATTATCTCTTTTATCAGTGAAATTGTTACACTGCTGAATAATTTCAACAGTGTTAGTATAAATAAAGTAATTAATCCAAAACTTAACAATATATAATTATTAGTAATATAACATGATACTAAATATATAAAATATTCATAAGTTAACATGATTACGCATACTATTTGTACCGTTATGTCAAAATATAATGAAAATTTAATTATTTAAATGTTAAGATATAATTTTAATGACAAGTCAGTTGTTGTGCATAATGGACAAATATCTTTAACAACTTGTTTATATCACTACCAGAGATGAGTGACAAGCAGAAAATCATCACATTTATTCATTTCTTAACTTATCGTACAATAGAATTGGTATTTTTCTGCACTGCTAATCATTTAAAACTCAAATAAAACTTCAAAAATTAAAACTTTTCATCAAACATTAGGCATTTAATTGTTTAATTACTATCAAACTTCAGTACAAATATTATATTAGTTCAATACGATTCAATTCAAACTATTCTATTAATTAAGTGTCGGATATCCTGTATAATACTGAATGACTGTGTACTAAAACCATTTCACAGTTTCTCACAAAGATCGTTATTAGCAGTAGTTTGATATCCATTATGGATTAATTAATTTCAAAACTCATCAAAGAACCACCTTTGATTATCTGGCTACTATTTTATCACTCATTAAATTTAAAAATTTTCTAACTATTGATTAATCCATTAATTTTTCCGATGGAAAGATTTAGCATGTCAAATGTAAGTTGGAAAACAAAAAGAAACTTTCAAAGTTTGCTTCTCACATCATTGTTACATCAAAATTAGTAAATATTCACATCATATTATTCTATAAAAAGAGTATAATGTAATATCATTGTCCACTTCTGCAAATAATCTTTCAACTGACCAATGTTCTCTCCTCCTTTGTCCATTGTTTTCTCATCAACTCTGAGTAACAACACCTGAAGATTGAAGTAAATGACAACACACACACACACACACACACACACACACACACACACACACACACACACACACACAGAAACACGTAACCCTCAAACAGACATATGCAAATATTCGTTATGAATTGCTCTTCTATCCTGCCAAGTGTCAAGTGGTCCCGGAATTACAGGTCACATATAGCTATCCCGTCCACAATTGCTAACATAAAATAAACAATCGTTAGAGAAGGTTAGATGAATTAGAATTGATCAAATCTACCGTAATCACTCCTCAAAGAAAAAGAGAGGGAGAGAGAAAGAGACACATGGTTGTTATGAATTATTTGATTGTTTTGTTATAAATTCTATCAATTTTTTATTTTTTACTAATTTATACAGAAATTGACTCAATTACTTAGCTTATTCTATATTATCACTGTAAAAACTTTTTTGTATATCTCATAAATTTGAAAAAAAAAATTATTGATAGAAAAAAAAAATTTTCTATCATTTTATATGGTTAACAAATAAAATTTATATATTCGGCAAACGTATCTCGTTTGTTCCTTGATTTTCTCTTTTTCTTCTTGTAAATTTTAATAAAATAAATCACGAAAAATTTGATTATTGTAAGAAAGATTGAAAGATGCGATAAGGACACTGATTGAAGTATCCGTCATGTTGTTGATTGTAATACATCTTCTGGGCATCAAATTGATGTAGCAGTTAATGAGAGGAAGGAATAATAAGTATCATTTATCAATGTAACGCCTGCGCTACCTATTTGTTATAAGTATTCAGGAGTTCAGTGAATAATTAGAGGAGACAAAAGAGATGGATAATGAGGAATGTATCTGTAAGAGTAACTTGTCAGCAACTGACACACATTTGTCCTAATCATTCAAACTTGACAAGCAATGACTTGATCGCTTGTTCTATGAGTAATGAAGGATTATGACAAGAATGTATGTTAATAACATTGATGATAATGTTGTTAATGATGATATTAAGCAAATAGTAATAAAAGCATAAAAATGGTAGCGGTAACTATACCAGCAGAATATAATTGCACGAAAAAATGATAATAAAAATATCACTTAAGAAATAAATAATTCAAATATATCAATGAGAATCGGTTTAACAAAAGATATATAGCTTTTCTTTTAAATGTATAAAAGTTATCACTCGATGTTAAAGTTCTAATTTCAATTATCGGAAATATTTAAAAATTAAGAGAATACATTGAATGAAATAACAACAATTATTTTTAAAACAAATTTAATTTAACTCATTTTACTGCGATCATTATAGTATAATGTATTATATTATGCAATCATTTTCAAATTATATTGAAATAATAAATTTGGAGTCTGATATGTGGTAAAAAAATAAAATTTTGGCAAAAAAATAAAATTTTGGCTACTGGTATTTATTCCAAAAAAAAATATTTTAAAATTCTCAATAAATTTTAAAAATTCTATCTATTCTCTTTCATTTGTTATTTTATAACTGACCACATTTCTTTTCAGTAATCTGATTCTACTTTACTCCCTTCCTTATCAGTGAAACTATTATTGTTAGTGATAGCAAAAACTAGCTTAGATGTTTAATGAGAGGAGTAAAGTTTTATTTTCACTTCATCGCAGCAATACACTCTTTTTTTTTAAAGCAGAAGTTTTGCATTAGAAAAAAAGTTTTAATGAAAACAATAGTTTAGAGATCCGAGAAATGTTCAAAAAATAAAAGTGTTAAATTAAAGAGTTGAAATTTAAAGAATTGAAAAAAGATGCCTGCATTTCACCGGAAAATTGTTTAATCTACTAAATTATATTTCAAATAATTATCATTTAAAATAAGAAATCATGTAAAATAAAACTATCACATAAGTGAAGTAATACAATTTTAATACCTGAATCCATTGTTTTTTGCATTTTTTTTTTGTTTTTATAGAACATTTGGTTTTTTCAAAAAAAATTTTTTTTTTCGAAGATTTTCGCGGAGAATATAATTTTTTTTCTTTCTATTTAGAGTCCAATCTCCTTACCTTCCCTTATTCTCGGCGGCTCGATCTCGTTGTCTTCTGTTCTTGAACCAATTTGATACCTGTGTTACGGTAAGATGTGTTTCTTCCGCTAACTCTTTCTTCTCCTTTGGTGACGGATATGGATTTTTTGCGTACCAATTTTTCAATGTATACCTTGATTTTTCCTAAAATCGATTACAAAAAAAAAAATGCTAAATTTGTTCAATACTTCAAGCATTTTTAGGTAATTGAAATACTTAGACATAGAAAAATAGCATGCAACATTTATAAAATAATTGAAATATTATTATTACGTACATGAATTTATTGTAAGATACGTTGCAAACGCGATAAAAAATTAAGAAAATTTCTCAAACTTTTTAATAAGATACTTACTCTGAAACAGTAACTTGTTTCTTCACCATCCCAAATTGTTCGAGGTAGTGGAAATTTCCTTCGTATTCGATATTTTCCAACAGCGCCTAACTCTCTACCTCGTATTTTTTCAGCCTTTAGAAAAAAAAAGACTTCTGCTGCTTGCATATTCATGTTAACAAATTTTAAATTGCTTAACAGTTATTGAGTCGCGTACACTTGAAAAATTTTTAGCAAATAGAATTCGAATTTTTAAAATTCAACTTATTTGTCGTTATATAAAAATTTATTTATCAAACAACTCATCATATAAACTGAGAATTAAATTTGGAGTAAAACTTAAATTAAAATTATGAATTAATTATTACTTCACTGTAATGTGCTTTCAACCATAAATCTTGTAATTCTGCATGATTTTCCGGTGAGAACTGATTAGTTTCAAGAATTCGATAAAGTTCTTTGAAATTTTGCCGATGGAAACATATGAATGCCTGAGCTTTGAGGACACTTTCATTACGTCGTAAGTCTTCTCGATTCGGAATTGCCCAAATGAATTCAGCCTTGAATTTATTAAAAAATTCTGATATATGCAATTTTCCTTCAATTAGCACAAAATATCAGCTATATGTTACTTAATGACAGATAAAGTTGAATGATATAAGTAAAACAAAAGACATCGAACAAGAGTTTGATAATTTTTAAAATAACCGGATGAGGTTTCTTAAAGTGTAAATTTATAAGAATTTGATGAATTTATTTTCCAGCAGTCATTGTAATAATGGAAAAATATCAAGAATAACAGCAATCGTAATCACTGATAATGATATGGATAGGAATGGTGATGAATAAAACAAAATTAGGGGATTTCGTAAATTCATTTTGACATCTTCATTGTCAAACTATGCTAACATGTCTAACTAATTTATAATCATTCATTAAGGTGTAAGCAGGCATTCTCCTGAAATCTCTCTTTAAAGATGCTCTTTTGTTTGAAATAGCGTAATAATACTGATCACTGTAGCCTATCACTGTAGAAAGATCATAATAATGGATTTATTGCTATGGTATTGAAAATAGAATTATAATAATGAATTTAAAAAAAAAATGAAATCAGGTTAACGAATTATCATTGTATTATTGAAAATAGAATTGTGATAATTAATGTTCTTAAAAATGGAATCATGATAACAAATGGTTGCTATAATGATGCTGAAAGCAAAAAAAAAAAATGAATGAAAAGAAAGATACCAATCGATCGATGTCACCCGATTGATGAAGAACTTCACAAACACAAGCGACCTGATCACTATCAAATGTACTCTCACTGAAATGGACTATAAACATGAAAGAGTAGAACAAGTAATATCGAAATAGGCGGAGAGATTTGATAGGTTTAGGTTACTATTATTGAAATTAATATATGTATATATTGCCCGATAGATAGATAGATCTTGCAATTCTAGACCGCTTTTGCAACGGCGTCGTAATGTAAATCGGATACTTTTATAGGAAGTGACTGGTAGAGGGATAAAATTTCGGTCATTCTATCAGCTCGTCCAGAATGCTACTGTAATTTATTCAATTTTTATTCTATATTTTGTAAGTAATATGTGGAAGGATGAGGTGAATATTGTTATTGTCAACGAAAGTAGCAAAAGAAATGGATTAATTTTCACTGAAATTTATTTGTGTATATATTATATGTATATGAGTACCAAATTACATGTAATGATGTGACGGGTATTTGTGTGTGT